CATTGGCTTAATTTTAAATTACGACCTAGACGTTATATTTTATAAAAATCGGAAGAAAAAAGTGAAAAGGGATGGAAGCGGGTACCAGGCACTACGGGATGCGATCGGGTCCTTCCCGCGGCAGTTAACGGCCAACTGCTTACGTCTCTCAATGCCACCTCGCGCACTGCAGTCACATACAGTGGGAGTACTTTTCCCAAACGTCGGGTGGAATTTTCCCCCAAAAGCTATGCCACTCTCCTTGAGACGTCAACCCTCTTCTGTAGCTGTTCGCAGGCAGAGCAGTTGTAAAAGTTCTTCGGTTGCAATTGATGACGATGTTCCGGGAGGTGCAACATTAGTCTCATCTGCGCTCCCACACCAACTCACGTGCTTCGCAGTTTATTTACCGAAGACATCAACATACAAATTACAAAAATGACACTCATTCGAATCATTTATGTTTCAAAGAAAACATCATCGTTTACATCGAGCACGTCACAGTCGCGAGCAAAGTAACTAGCTTACTAGAATTCACGGGCACAGGGTCCAGAGTAGAGATGCGACATTGAAAACAAAGATGTTTCTACACATCGATTCTCAAAATTAAACATCGACCCAAAACCATTAATGTTATTTAAGATCGATCTTTTAAAAAATGGATTAGTAACAAGCGGGGAGGACTTATATAATATATTAATTTTTTCGTCGAGATTTAACTCACAAAACAGTCAGAAAAACGTCAGGAGAATTAACAAAACTTGGATTCTCTGAATCGATAATAGAGAAAATATATGTTTCTTTATTGATGTAATTGTATTTATTTTTCCCTTGGACACTTTGGTCTAAAGAATATTCAATTTAAAAATATTTGAAAATTACTATAGAATTTTGTTGTGGATTAAAAAAATATCGACTACGTAAAAACATCGAACACATAACATCTATGTTTTGAAATTATCGACATGGACGTCGCATCCCTAGTCCAGAGCAACTGGCGTGAGGTTAAAGGTACAGCACTGGATAATAGGCCAGTGGAAGTTTTTCCATTTGGAGAAGGTAGTTCACAGTAGCTCCAAATTTAATTGTTAATTTCCATTTATTCTGCTAAAGCTAAGAAATTATCCTTTAAGATGTAATAATACATAAGTCAGATTGCAAATAACAAATTGAGAGAAAATTAAACATTTTGAATCGAAAGTATCTTGATTGTGTTTTCGTGTTTACTTTAAGTGTGCAATAATTTCATTAACTTGAAATGCTAACTTATAGAGACTTCATAACATTTCACATTATTTCTGCAAGCAAAATAACTTAATAATTTAATAAAACACAACGCAATACATGGCAAAATTTGCAATACACGCAAAATTGCGCCATTCAAACATATTCCTGTCATTAGCTAAAAGTGTTTATACAAGGCAGAATTTAAAAAAAATAGAAATAAATAGAAAAGAATATAACCATATTCAAATGTTGGTTATTTGATAGAACAAATCACACAAACGTATTTTCGTATAAATCCCCAATTCTGGGCCTCTTCAACTTGCGCGTGTACACCCCTTTCTGGATTTGGAGGGAAAATGACAAGCATAGTCAGGGGAAGTTGCCCGAGCTCACAGGAGTGCCTTCCTAAGCGGGCATGTAGCTCGTGTGGGCGCTGTTTGTCTAACCGTCTTTACACACTGACATTTACATTGATAATATAATGTTTGTTGTTTACTCTTTTCATTCTTGTTACAATGACAATAACTGACTCAGTCAAACAAAGCAAGTGAAACCTAATTTCCTCGGTAGATATCCACATTATTTGCTTTATCTTTATGGCGAAAAACTCGATTTGTTTTCTTCCAAGCTTGACGAGCACCCTAAAATGGGCGTCGCAAAGCCAGTCGACGTAACTGCAACGTATTTGATGAGGCAAAGCAAGCCACTTTACGACGATATTCACGACACACTCTGTGCTTTTAATTAACGAAAGAGAGTATACGCAGAGAGAAAAAAAAAAAAAAAGAGCCGCGTTGACTGGCAGCTGTCATCATTCATTGTATCTGTTTTGAATCATTAAAATTATACGTTCAAAAGTTTTGTTATAACTGCTGAATAACAAATAGAATTTGTATTCTTTTTAAATATCATAAATATTAGGAGTTATCAAACAAGTATTTTCGTTTTAAGAAAATACTTTATAAACTATTCTATAACACATTTTAAAATTCGATTTTGAGGGAGGATTGTCACTGAATCTAGCTACGCTACTGATCACAGTGTAGGGGTCTAAAGCAGTAATCTACAAGAATAAAAACTTCGTATCTAGGATACGAGTTAGCATTCTAATACGAACACTGATATGAAAAATTATGAACCATTCAATCCATATAAAAAACAGACACGAGAAATTTTAAGAACTATTATTTTCAATCAATTATCATTAAAATAATAATTTCCCCCATGAACAAAAATACAACGACAATATTGTGAGTGCCTAGATGTTGGCCAAGGTCCAAACTGGGCTCTAGCACCATCGTGAATAATGTAAAGAGTTGTTTAATGAGTGTTTTTAATGTGCCGTCCAATATGTGAACAACGTTTGCGGCTTCAGACACTCGTTTGCATTTGTTAATGTAGCGAACTTGTTATTCAGTTATTCAACATTACGAGACAGCGATCATATTACACAGCTGTTTGCATACACGAACACAACGCAGGATGGCCAGCGCGCGACAAACACTTGAATGCCACGTAGGCTCTAAATCGGATTAAAAGGAATATGCTTTTAATCTTCCTGCGATTGATTTAGACGGCAGTAAGAATTCAATGATTTTGCAGGGAGCCCATGTGATGGCAAGTAATAGATTCCCAGAAATACAGTTCTAGTCGAAGATGGTTCAATTGACACGAATCCAAAAGCCTGGGCGTTAGATACAAGAGCAACAACACATTACGTAAGATAATAAGTATGTCACTGATACCATGTAATATAGTACAATAGTTTATTAATATTTGTGAAATAATATTTTTTAAACACATCTTTTGGAAATTCCCACATTAATTACCTGGCTACTACGCGTCTCGTAACTTCATTAGTGAATTCCATAGCGTTCGTAATATTACCTCTGATAAGACCCACAAGAAGTTCAGTGCGGGATTACCAATTACGAGGACTGAAACAAATGCGCCAATGAGAGATAAGGTAGCTCATTTGCGTATTTCTTTTTCAAGGTTGTAATCAATGTTTCTAAACAGAAATCATAAGTACACAAGAAAAGAGACTGCCTAAAAAAAATATTTTGCAAGATCAAGGTGGTTTACTTTTTACCTGTACTATTGGGAGGGGGTGGGGTGAAACGGCTAGCATATCTGCCCTCCACCACTAGGGTCTTGGTTCGATCCCAGGCCATCCACGTGGAATTCAGGTGGACAAAGAGCTCTCGCAGATTTTGTCAGGGTCTCTCGTTTCCCCTCCTTTCATTCCATCATTTCTCAATCATAATCCACCTTCACATCATTCCCGCTATCATTTACTCATTAAATCATTTAAGGCCCACAATCACCTAAGTATTTGAAGAGCCAATGGGATATTTTAGTAGTAATAATACTCTTGTTTCCTAAACATATTTCATTTGACTCCAAAATGATGGTTTTGAAATTTGTCTCTTTTCTTATAAACCGACACCACATTATTTCATAGTGCACTTCTTTCAACCATTTTCTTTCAAAGATATGGATCACTTGGTTAAGGAAAATAAGTAGTTCAAAGACTGATCTCTACTCCACCTGAATCTTCACAGAGTGTTGACAAAATATTTTTACATGAATGTTATTAATTCTTTTGGAGGTGTTTCGTTTGTGGGATATTTGAAAATCAATCGGTCAATGTGAATTGTGTTTTCTAATCTTCCCGATTTTTCCACCGTAATTAATAATGCATACAATGACAAATTCTCGAACCAGACCCCATTCGTACATGACATTTAACTGCAGCTCTACAAACCTTACGCACAGCATCGCTTCAAGTGTTCACCCTCTGTAGCTTTGTTTTCTGCAGAAAAATATCTTTCCCAAATCTTTTCTGTTAAAATAAATTAGCTAGACTCTTTCTGTTAACTGACCACCGACTGCTAGTAATGTTAAAATTCTACTACGACACTGGAATCAACAAATCTCTCTTTCGATACAGTGTATTCATCGTTGCCTACAGGCCAGATTTACCTGCAAAACAAGCAGTTGCTTGGGAGACCCCGCGCTTCGGAAAAAATATGCACAACATATTTTGCAACACAAAATGTATTTAATGTAATAAATGTAATATACGTAAAATTGTATTTAAAAAAAAATAGTTTTCACTTGTATTTGTACAGAAAGTACTTGTATTAAGATAAGTTTCTCATTTAATAAATATGAAGCCATTTTTACGGGGGGGGGACACAAATTTGTGCTTGGGAGCCCCGCAATACTTAAATCCGGCCCTGATTACCTAGGTTTCTACATTGAACCCATACAATTTGGTTCTGTATTCATAATTCAACTTAAAATTGTAGCACAGATTGCACTTCTCCCCCCCCCCCCACCGGTTTTTACCAGTTCTTTTTTTTACTTTAAATAAATACGTAAATAAATATTATGCTGGGTGTTGATGTTTAACAATCCAGCCATTTCCCTCCTCGCCTCACTTGCCACCTTGTTTCTCCACACGTTCTTATGCTCCTTCCTTGTTCTTTCCCATTCCACTCGCTACTCGCTTGACTTTCACTCTCCGCGCACGTACACATACTTAAGGCTGAAGTGTGCGTGATCTCTGATCCTGTTTTCGGTTTCAATTTTCATGTTCCAAAATTTCAATACAGTATTATTTAATTTAGTAATCACTTATTGACAAATAAATAAGCAAACATTAATAAGAAACTAAATAAAATAAATAAAAAAGAATCGATCTGATATCCCCGTTATTATTTTTTAGAAAACAATATCGGAACAGAAATCAACACCTTCCTTTTCTTACTTTTTTGACATCGGTTTAGATACTTTCGATACATTCTCGTATAGCCTCTGACCACACATTGCGCATTCATGGGGAGGCCGTGCCCCTCCCCTCTCCGCCCTCGCCCTCTCCCTGGCCGGTGGGAGCCGTGGAAGAGGGGAAGAGGGAGAGAGGGAGGGGGAGGGGGAAGGAGGCGAGCGCACGCGGTCCGCTGGCCCGGGGCCAAGCGATTCGAGCAACGCCACTGGGCTTCGGAACGAGTTCAGAGCTGCACTGGCGGGATGTCTCTAGTTCAAGGCGCTCTTGCCGAAATTCTGTTCATTTACGTCCGTCTGCCGACCTGCGTAGCGAAGACAGCTGCGGCGGCGACCGCGCCGCAGCGAAAGGCTGCGAGTTCGAATCTCGCGAAAGCAATGGAAGGTAATGTGCGTGGGCGTGCCCCATTATATCATCATTCATTAGCTTCAAATAGTAGCATAAAATTCTAAGTGCAAGGGCGTCCAGAAAAAAATCAGAGGCCTGGGCACTTGATCGAAAGGGGCCCCTTATATCAAACAAAAAAAATTCCTCCTTCCGCAATTCAATATCAGACTTCTCTATGCATTTCTCTATCCATTTCTCTATGCATCAGAAATACCTTTTAGCGTTAAATATGGATTAGAGATGAAAAATATATTTTTATTTCTTTTGAATGAAAAATAATCCGGCCTCTCAATTAAGTCGAGGCCTGAGGCAAGTTGCCCCCCCTGTCCCCCCCCCTGGGGGGTCTGGCCGCCCCTGCTTAAGTGGCGTAGTATCTGAAACGAAATTCTATATTATTATAATAAAAGTAAATTCAATAATAAAAAATAACGATAATGATTTGAAAGTCGATTTCCATTTCAGCCGGTAACATTCAGGGAACCATGAATAGTGTATTGTGTAGATATAATGTCTATGAGAATGATTATTTTCTAGTATTTGTATCATATCAATGAGAGGTTGATGCCCAAGTACAGAAAACTGATGCTCGCGCGTTTCGTGCGCGAACGCCTCACAACTAAGTGAAAACACCCATGGCTAACCTGGGAGTCGAACCCGCAACCCCAGCAAGAGCGGTTGCAGCCTTCATCCGTCCCTAAGAGACGCATGAGATTACAAATAAACAACTGATACTTGGCTATCCTGCACAACTATTCTGATACCAATGATGATTTGAAAGACTGTATGAGATCGTCGTTGGCTCGCGTTTACGTACCATGCCACGGACACGAAGTGAAAAACAACCATAGGGGCACACCATCACGAGATTCCACACCACGATTCCACCGAGAGTTCTTCCTCCTCCACGCCTAAGTAACAGTGGCGACCACATACAGACACTCGGAATTTCCTAGGCAATAACAAAACGACGACGGAGAATTTAGACGAGTATACAGGTTACGTGATGGTTTGCCATTGCCCCGCCACAGAACGAAAACGGCCTTGGATTACGCGGGATTCGAACCAAGAACACCAGCGCGGGCCGGCGGTCACCGCGGTCGCGGCCGCTATTTAGGTCGCCTGGTGAAATGGCGAGCTGGGAGAAAGAAGACTCCGGGACACCTGCTGCGTACTCATCGCTTCGCACCGCTGCCACGTGGATCGTTCGGGCTTCGAAGCGAGTTTGTCGGACCTTCGAGGCAAAATACAAAAATTGAAAGGATATTATACTACGTCAGCGAATTTTCGACTGGCACCAGTCTTGTGACTAAAATGGCGGCTTGATATGGGTGTTACAATTTCAGTGAAATGAGTAAATAGTTCGATTATAGCCTATATCGTCGGTGCACAAGATGGTGGACAAGACACCCTATATATAGTGTGTGTGTGTGTGTGTGTGTGTGTGTGTGTGTGCAGCCGACTTGATGTTTTCGTATAAATAATTTATCATTTATGCTGAATATAAAATATATTTTATTTAGCCTTGATATATACAATCAGTTCTTTAAGAACAATATGTATATGTTAAGAACTTAGACATGATAATAAATAATTTGTACAGCTTTTTCCGCCTTTTACAACCGTTCTAGTTCTTTATAAATAGGAAGCGTAGGTTCAGAATATGATTGCGGTTGAGGCGATAAACATTGAACTGTAGAGAGGTGTGATTCCTAGATTGAGTGTAAATTCAGTTGTTGCTATGTAATTCCAGTGTTCTACATAAGTTCTGAAATTTTGGCCACTTCGAAGGTCTAAATGTAGAGTTTTGTTTGACACGTACCACGATGCATTTGCCATTCTGGGTAGTAATTATTTTCCCTAGAACCGTTGCAGACGTTCAAGGTGTGATGTTTTCTCTGGTACTCGTGAACGTCTACGTCCGAATATGTAGTATTCTAAATTAGAATTTCGTTTGTTACAGATAACGTTGATGTTTTATACAATAACCAAGCTAAATTGTTCGTTTTTAACTGTGGGTCCACCAAGCAAGACGACGGTTGACATGAAGATCAATGTATCTTTTTATTGTTCATACATCGAAACATTTCTAGGAGAACCGGGTATTAAGTGTCTGAAAGAGCCCTAAGCTTATTCGAATCATGAGGCACTTAAATATATTTAAAAACAAACATATATGCACTCAAAATAAACATGTTGGAATGTCTGATACGTAAATTGGAATTCTATAATAAAATTATTTATGTCAACGTTTTGCCTTCATCAGGGCTACATTACACAAATATATGATATATTATTATAACATTTTGTTTTTCACCTCATTGCAATATACATTTGTCTCGAATATGATGGTGAAATAAACACCAAAATTTTGGAGAGGGAAAGAAAGCAGAATTTCAAAATACCTAATAAATAAAAAATAACTTCTGTAATACAAAAACGTTTATATTTATAAACTAATATAAATGTTATTGATTTAAATAAAATTTAAAGTATTACTTATAACAAGGAGGGTCTATCCGGAAGGGGCTCTAAGTGATTGCTCAGTCTGCATTGTGCAATAATCCACACCTGACTTCAAGATCTAAAAGTGGGGCACGTGTCGGCCAGGCACGGGTGGATCCAGTCGATTAATTGGGGAGGGTGGGGGGGGACAATCATTAGATACTTTGTTAAATAATAATAACATAAATTTTGTGTTATTGTAATTTTAATTAGATTGTTGTAGTTTCATAATAAAATACGTATACAATATTATTAGTTGAATGATTAGTACAATGATAACATAAACAACCATGGTTAAATTCATTTTGCCAAAATAAAGGACGGTAAACGAAACTCGTAGGCCTTTGGGGGGGGGGGGAGTTCGGGGGCTTGGATCGCGGCCCGCTCTTGGCAGGCGCAATGGTTAGTTCCTTCCCGTAGGCGACGGTTCAGGCGTCACCCACTTTGGGCGGTCTCCCGCCCGCTTGCGCCGTGGCGGGATGGATGGCCCGCGCCCTGTGAGCCGCGCAAATAGGCTGGCCACTGCCCAGCGCTGCACGCGGCTCCTCCCGGCCTGCTCTCCCCTCCCCTGGCTCGTGCGCGGTCGACCCCGCCCCGCCGCGCCCCGCCACCGCCCCCGGCACTTCGAGGCAGCACCTGCTCCTCCGCACGACGGGGACGCCGGCGAGGCGTTCCTCGCAGCAGAGCTACCAATGCCGCTCTGCACGCGACCTCGCGCCCGCGCCCGCTTGAGCAGGGCTCACGATACACAGGTCCGTGGCGCTGCCGACGTTTAAGATCTGGGCTAACTCGTCCTGAATGCAAAATACAGAAAGAAAGAGAACTTCTGGTTTGTTGTTATAATTTAAGGTCACATCAACATCTAGGTCATTCGCGACCACTGTTGGATTAAACGTCACGGTTACTTTGAAGATGATCGGGGGTGAATGGACAAACACAAATACAATCATGCACGAGGCGAGACTTGAACCCACAATCCTTTTGTCCGAGTTCGTTACGGCACTGCTTTCTTAACTATCTCGGCCACCGGATCGGCGAGCACTTCTTGTTTGATCAATTTTTTATATTATAATTAGTAAATAAAATAAACGGTATAAGATTCATGTGGCCGGCCTGGATTCCCGAGGTCGCTGAGGCTGTAGGGCCGTGGCTGCCTCGGCTCGAAGTGGCGCGGGTTTAATCCCACCAAGGGCATGGGTGCTTTTGGGTATTCATGTTCCCCTTACAGATACAACCAGTGTTAAAAATCACAGTGGTCGCTACCTGACCAATTTATTGAAAAATTATGTGGTTTATAAAAAAAATTGTGAGTTATTTTTTTATACTTATATTCCCTATAAGTCTTTGACCTTCGCAGCTAGCCAAAATTATACACTACTGAAATCAGACTAAGCAAGTGTTTACGTCCCTTGGTGGATAGGGCCATTCAATAACTTTTTAACGTTTTATATTATATCTTAAAGTAGTAAAAATAATTTTAACTGTTTTATGAATACCAAAAAATTAAAATTTAATTCATAGGTATTTTCAAACCTAACACATTTTTTACAATGTTGCCACATCAAAAGGTAGGTGATCATTATTTTTAATATTAATTTCTAAAACTTATACTTCTATTTTCACTCATTTTGATCACTTGTGTTATACATTTCAAAACCATTAGAGGATTTTTCGCAAACTCGGGTCGAGGGAAAGGGAAAACCCGGTACTTAGTTTGGAAGAAGAGTTCCTCAGGTGTTGCACGTTCACTAAAATCATTTTTACCCCCTCTGTCCCCTTTGCAGTTTCTTAACAAAAATATTCTACGCCTTCAAATGTACATTTTGCACGCCATGGACCCCCCTCTTTGCAATTGACAAACTTACAAACATGCAACATCAGTAGTATAATAAATAAATAAACGGTGTGTAAAGGAAAGAAAATAATAATACTCTTGTACGCATTGAAAAAGTTGAAAAAGTTTTTTTACGACATTTTTTCGTATCTGTCCTCCAAATGTTACAGGGTTTTGTTGTGTACATGCATACACTTTTCAATTTCTTCCCTTCCTCATCATACTATTTCGTATTAAAGCGGTACACCCCCTACCCCCGGATAGTGTGTACATATAACTTGTATGACCACTTACAGGTGTTTCCGTTAACTCAATTTTAATAATTCGAAATCTTTCAAGTAATTATTCGCATATTTCTCATAACTATTTATTTTTACAATTAAGTAACAAACATATTACACGTTAACACCAGAATACTGATCATATCCAAATAATTTATTATTTTTCTTCGAAGGGTCAGCATAGGTTATTGGAACAGCCTTAATCCAATGCTTCCGCTGACGTATAGTGCTGTGTTTGTAAAGTAGGCGTGCCCATTATTCTGGATTCATTCGCCCCCATATGTTTCTTCGATGTGTTCTGGTTGCGTATTTTTTTGTTGCCACGGTCTTCGTTAACTTTAAATCTTCTGTGTAAGGAAGAAGATTGTCTTATTTGGCAACACTGCCGCCATAAGAGACCGTATTACGAACTAAACGGCGGACACGCCAGAGCTACTGCCATGATGCAAGAAGACTATGACGTTGCGCGACTCCCGGCTGTGCAGCCAAGAAGCAGTTAGGGCTCGCAGGACGCGGTACGAGGCCTGAGCGAAAGGGATTGACCGATTGATTGAAGATTCCGGGCGCGCTAATTGCGAAAGTCACTAGTCTCGTAAGTATAGTGTATGTTTTATCGCGAGAGGTGCCAATGATCTTTCTCCGCTGGAGGATGAGATCCGGCGGCGACCTGTCTGTCGGCGTGCGGGATTTTCCGTATCCAGGTATCTCCCATCAGCGGGGCACATTCGGCCCGGTCGGGACAAGCTCTTACCTCGACTGGCCTCCCGGCGTGTGTGATAGTAGAGAACATGTAAGTGCCTAGTGTTGATCGGATAAACCGCGGAAAAGTATTGATCACAGCAGCTGGTCCCTGGAATTCTACTCCAGGCAGCAGCTGAACTCTACCTAACTATCTAGCTAGTGTCGAAAAACCGGCCTCTGTCGGGACTCTTTTAACACTAAGACCTCCCGGACAGGGGTACTGCGGTGACATCAGTTGATGCCTGAGCGAAAGGAAGGTTTAAGGAGGTTTCCAAAGACGTCAGAGGCCATTGAGAAAAACCGTTCACATAATTTTGTTTTTTACACCCTCTTCCCCTCTTTGTAACAAACCGTAACACGTACAACATCCCCATTATGTCAGATGAATGTGCCATTTCTCTACTCGCACCTAAAGTGACATAAAACTTTATTAAAATTGTGTGGAATTTTATTTATACAGAAAAGCATTTTTTTAATTTTAAAAAAAGGAAGATTTTGTTTGTTTAATTTAACACTCATTTACAGTTTGATATTAATAATATAATTAATATTACAAAAATACTGTGTGGGTGTCCTCCTTCCCACACTGAGAGCATCTGTTTTTGATTCGCCCCTCAAAACACTGCACTTGCACGTCTCCCTATCGCGCAAATCTCTATCCGCAATCGCGCAATCCCCATCCGCAAATTTGAACTTTTCACCTTAAATATGAAATAAATAAATAATTTAAATAAAATAAATAAATAATTTAAATTAAGTAAATAAATAAAAGAGCATGATGTAAAGAGAAGGGGCGAAAACGCGCATCTCCAAGCAGCGCACAGAGGGACCACTTGACGAGACCGGGTCCTGAGTGACACGTACGTAACAATTAAGACAACTCGGCCGTTGAAGATAAACCATCTTTCATATATTTACTTTTCAAAAATTAATCAAAATATCACTTTTATTGGAACAATTAAAAA